AAAACTATCTAAAAGTTTCGTTTATTGTGAGTCAGCGTTTTACACATTTCGCGATTTTTCATCACCAGACAACGCAGGCACAGTCGGTGGTGTTTATTGACCTTGAGCATTCGCTCACTTAAATCGTCATAGTAAATGATTTTCAATAATAGAGGAACATATATTATACATAGACATTCCGCACTATGAAGCGGCAAGTCTGAAAATGCCGTAGATTTTGAGAAATAAATTCCATTGTGCGAATAGTGAGAGGCATCAGTAAGCGATACTGAACCGAGAGCCAGTGAGAAGTTAGAGGCAGAGTTAACCCAGCCCATGAATCGAATTGATTGAGGTAGTGTTTTAGAATAACGAGTAATTATTTATTCATTTCTAAGTTCAGAGCATGAATATTTGTTTGAATTGCTGAGGTCGATTTTACATGGTTCTGTCCCGTATGGAGAGCTTTCCACGTGGCTCAAGATAAGCAAGACTGTAAACATTAACTGTTTATGCCCTTGTTCAGTTCCCAGTGTGTTTATTATGCTCACCTGAGAAGGCTCAAAAGGCGGTATTTCTTCTGAATGATTCGCGACTGGATATTGATTTCTGGCAGCGAGCAGATAATGGTGGGGTGGATACTTTAAACGCTGTTCGTTAAAACAACCGCAATCCTCGTTGGAAAGCTACATACCAAGGTGGCTGTTTTGGTCGTTTTAGACTCGCTGTTGTCTACTGGGCTTTTATGGTTAGAGGTGAACGCTTCTAAGTTTATTCAAAAATCTGTAGTGTGTCAGTATGCCACGGTCCAATCGTTGGTGTCGTTTTTGAACGATTTAGCAATTATGAGCATTAAACCAACTTGCTTCTTCCCGTTTAGTGAAGCCGCTTAGAAAAGAACTGGGGCTATGTTGTCTAGTCGTCTGTGCCGACTTGCAATGATTTTTTTGTTGACGACAGGCCAGTTTAGGGAAGATTTTGAATAAATTTTGGCTGGGTTCATATCTCTGTGCAACCTTGATGGGCCCGCGTGTCACAGTCTACTGACGGTAGTCAGCATTATATATCACAAGCTGGCCGTGAAACGGTTGAAGGTAGCAGACGGTGATCGACGAATCTCCGAAACCAGCTCCCAGTTGGCTGTTGCTCAGGCATAGGCTGAAACTAGAAGAATATTTGGAGGGTAGGTTGGTAGGCTTTTGATTTTTCCCGGCTCTTTGTAGCATGTTGATCAGTCCATTTTTCTCTGTCTAGGAATTTTCCCCGTTTGTAACGTGGAAGTTCTCGTGGCACATCAGTCCTGCCGGGCACACTCAGGTGAAAGATGATTAATGTTATGTTGTCGTGTAAGGTACCTGCTGGACTGGAATACCGCTGGAAACCGGATTATTGCATGGTTTAAGGGCATGAACGCAAGCAGGCCTGATCTTTGGAGTGTTGTTGATGGAGGGACTGATTGAAAGAATGGAATTTTAGTGTTAATCTCTCAGATGAGAGCGCCCCCTCTGTGGCGTTGCTGACAAAATTGAGTTGGCATATCATTAATGCTCTCGATTGGAGTGAGGCCCAGAGGTAAAAATTTCGCTCCATATCCTGGGTCCTAAAACGAGCCTCGGAACTATTGAAGGCAAGTGCGGGGCTAGAATGAATTCAACTTGTATCCACTGTTACCAGTATCCTTCGACTTATTATGGTGCAAAGAAGAAATTTTATAGGTGCCCGTTAAAACAACATATCCTCTGAGAATATTTGCGCTCAAGTTTACCTCCTAGGTAGTGCAAAACAATAACAGCACTATATAATGGGATGAAACGGCTCAGCAGTGGCAACTCTAGAAAAATTTATTAAGCACATAATACTTTTGCCAATAAAATGGCAAAAATAGCCCGGACGGTGACTTTCGAAGGGACGTCGTCGTGGCATGGAAGTAAGCAAACCGTCGGAAATCCGTGGTAGGCGATAAAACTCCAAAACTATACTCAACTGGCTGCATTGTGCTACTCTCAAGAACCCCAACCACCCGCTTGTAGCTGTAAAGGACGAAATGATGTGTGGCAAGTGGCCCTGCCACGTTGTGCATGCTGAGTGAACCACGCATCGAGCGCAGCGTTTGGCAGCTCCATAGACCGCAGAAATGTGTTAAACGTAGAATCACTCACTCTTTGAAACACGCCCATAAGAAATGCACCTTCGCGGGCATCATAGGTCATTTCTGTAACGATGTTCTCCGGAATAGCTGGCTCCTCCTTCGTATATATCTGAGACGGATATAACTAAATGAAATAAAGTGACGAATTGCGTTCCCTTGCGCAGATAACGGTGCTTTATCTATTAGGCATGTAAAAATGGTCTGTGTAAGAGGTAGATGGAGCTTAAGCATACGGAGACACTTAAGGCGGGAGCGTCATTGACCATCGGCTTTATATAAGGAGTGTGCACCATTTTGGCCGAAAAAGTTCATTATTACCTTTATACTGCGCCTCAAGTGCACGTCCTTGACGTGCAATACATATTCTCTGGGGTTTGACATCTCTGCTAAACAGTGATGTGTCGTTCATGTTTAGATGTGACCCCTAGGGCAGTTGGCAAGAGCGTAATTTTCACCAGAAAGCGCTTAGCTCGCTTGAAAACAAGGTACAATTGAAGAACACTTTGTCTTTTGTTTGATTTTAAAAAAATCTGCGGGGTAGCCTGAAGGTACTTTCCGAGTCTCGTGGCCAAGTTGCACGGGCAATTCTCCGCCAAGTTCGTCAAAGCTGGGGTTGTGCGAGACTAGTTCACTGGCCTAATATAACAAACACGCTCGCTTCTTTTGTTCCCTGAAGTGGCTCCATACATATAAAATAAAAAACCTTGCCATTCCTTGCACAAATCAATGATGGCTGGCACGTAATGGCTAGTTATGTAATGCGCCTTTTTTCTGACTGGAGCTAACAGCAATGACTGATTGGATTGTGTAGCTAAACCAAAACCACTGCCGCCCCCTGTCTAACTACCATGTACTCGCCGGTACTAATATGTTAAAACCCTGGCCATGTAATCGCCAGTTCAGCTACTAAGTCCGAAACTTCACAAAATCACTCATCTACACTTGCCATGGTCTTCGGCTTTCTCACCAACTGACTACAAATCATGGGACACAACTCTTACAATCAATGGTGCTCTCTTGAATTGCAATCTGAAAATGTCGCATACTCGCCCAACGGAAGCATACTACTAGTGATCTGTTGTGCATCAAACTACACTGCATCATTAATAAGGCTTTGGTTGCTACGTCATTCAACAAATTCCGCCCTCTTCAAAGTTTATTTAGCTTTCTATCACCCCTTCAAACTATTTTGCATCATACACCGTTACATCTGATACCCCCTGACACTCACCATACTCTACTCATCTCATTGCATAACGCCCCTTACCAAGCTTCAAGCCTCGCCAGTGGCGGTTCTAAACGCTTCGTATGGGCCTTATTCAGTCGGTTTTATTGGTATCTGTTTCAGACACTTACACATAAAGAATTCACATTATTCGTGATTTTATATCGACCTGACCACCTCATTCAGCATCCTCGTCTAATCCAAATCCAGTGCACCCAAACCCGCTGCCGAACCCCTGATGTGCGGCAAGGGGCTGTCCAGCATTCGAAGTGTGCCAGTGGAATGAGAGCACAGCGCTACCACTCGCAGCCTAAAGGCAAGTGCCCAACTGTGTCTCGCTCACTTTCGACCGTCCTTTCTGGCCTACTTGGAACTTTAAACATAATAAGTTTATTTTGCGACTTGCATCTATGAACGAATTTTTCACCCGGCCCCAAGCGCCTCTTGGAATGGCTTGCTCTAACCCACTGAATCCTTCGTTCAGATTTAACTATCCCAGCTTTGTGCTCCAATTTCAGTTCCCCCTTCCACAAGTTCGACGATTTCATTTAGTGTGTTGGGCCTTGTGCGTAAAAACTGCCAATCGATTTTCCTCCAAAGTCAACCCTAGTTAGTCCACATAGTTTCAGTGTGAATTATGTCATTAAGACGAAATTCGTCACTTGTCTCCGCTTGTAGTTCCACCCTTTCCACCTCCATTGGTGATTTGGGAAGCCTGGCTATTGGCTCAACAGCCCAAAGTCAGCGATAATCTTCTTTTTCAATTCAAGTCAACTGGCTTCATCATTGAACCAATAAGACCTCATATCCGTTGTTTTAACTTCTTGGTTTCCACAATCTACGATTACTTATCAAGTGTTGAGCGTTTCTCTGTGGTTCTGCTGTCCTCCCATTGTGTCTTTGTCCACCGTGATCAGGTCGTAACTGCCCAATCATACCCCGTTTGGTATGTTCCCTACAATTGAGGAAAAACACCTGTTGGTATTATTATAAGCAGATTATCTTAACCGTGGGCACGTTCAAATAACGGAGCCTGTTCCAAGCTCGTGTCCGGCACTCCATTGGAAGACGACGGAATATTGGACCACAATCTTGGGACAGGGGCGTTTTAGGCAGCATGTGTTTGATTGTTGCAATTTTTCCTGTTGTAACCTGTTAACAAGAGAGACAAGCACCTTGAAGCGACAATAATGACAATAACAATGCTTATTCTCAACTGGTGGGGAGGCATACCGCCCTGTAAGGTCATAATGTTATGGTCAGAATAAAGGCAAGAATGATGTAAATCGTGTACTCTCGGGAGGGTGCGGAAATAGGACATTCATTTAAATGGTGAATATTATCCGGCACAAATTGAGTCATGCCAAAACTAGCATGATATCAATTAGATGGACAATGGGGGCAGAGAAACGAAATTAACAGTTTTATTTAGCTTGTAAAGAACATACAAATTGTAGCATGATCGGTCCGCTAAAAATTAAAGATGACAAGCGTCAAACAACGCAAGAAATCAACACTAAGCAATCCTGCCTGTCTCCTCATAAGAAAATCTAAATTGTGGAACATAAGATACTCGAATAAGGAATACAAGGAAGCAGGGATATTTCTGTAATGAGGCCGGCCACTTTTGAGGCTCTGTTGACAGTTCATTTAGTGGCCAATTTCACGAAACGCATAGTTAAGAATGATGGGGTTAAGGTAATCGCAGTATTTTTGGACGGTTGCTAGTATCTTAGAATCAAGAAGTACAGGAAAACTGGCCGGACTCTCTGTTGTCGCGTGGAGCGCAAAGAAAATCTTTGCATATTTTGGGATGACAAACGGAAAATGAACCGTGCAAGGAGTTGAATGGATTAAAATGGAGTAGTTCTGGAGGCAGCATCTACATTTAAGCGGTTTGTTCTCATTTGCAGCTAAGTTTCTGAAAAGACGATAGGTGAATTTTTAGAGGGTGAAGAGAATAGTTGTGATTCTGTCATCGGACCGATTATGGCAGTGTTGTGCCATCATCGCACTTAAACGCCCCGTTTTTGGACGGCCAAGTAATGGTCGAGGTGTTCGGATGTGGTTGTAGTTTTGTAGGCAACTAGATTTCGGGCCAACTTGGGAGACCCATGCAGGCAGAAAAGAGCCAATATAGGGTTACAGGTACAGTTTGTTCAGTTTGAGATCCATGCATATGCAACATGCTCCACTGGCTATACACATACGTGCTCGGCATAACACTCATTTTTCGGGTTCCAGAACACAGAATGGTGATCGTGAGATTACTTACATATCCGGCGACTCCATATTCAGAATCGTGGCATATCTAAACATTTGGGGTTCTCAGTAATCTTGTGAGAAGTTTCCTTCCTAAAAATAGGGCGTTCTTTTATTGGTCCTGACCAATAAGTTTTTACATACCTAGGCACCAGGCGCCCCTCGATGAGACGCACACTAGGGGCCGCCGTTGCTACCGGTTTGCATGTTCTCCTGATGGGAGTACCGACGACTGCCAACAAAACACGATAATTGCAGACGCTGTGCGATAATAATAATAATTATTATTCCCAAGTAGTGGGCATCCCGTCGGGCATGATCATAGTACTACAGTCAGAACAAAGGTGGAGTTTGTGATTAATGGGAGTTTCCTGGAAAAGGAAAGTGACGTAAACAGTAAACATTAATGAAGTAGAGTTCATCACACCTGAGGTGGCATGGGCAGGGATCCAAAATTACATGGTCTCTTTATGTCCTATGGAGAACATATCAGATGGCACGAGATCTGAACGTTAGGATTTAAAAGTGGCGGGGAAAGAAAACAACACATGTGAGGGCATAAAAAGAGCTTCCTGACT